TTTTTTTTTTTGCAGTTTTTGGCTGGGGCCAGGTTTAAACTCGCCACCTCCAGTATATGGGGCTAGTGCCCTACTTCTGTGAGCCACCGGCACCAGGACAGGATCATCCTTAACAATTCATTTTGTTTCTTTTACTGTCCTTTTGTGAGCATAACTTCAATAAAATGAACAGAAAAAAGAAAATATTTTTAAAACATTTAATGTTTCCTGTCCTGCATATACACAACATAAATTTCTGTTTATGATTTTATTGTGTGAATTCTCTGAGAACAGTTAGAATTTTGTGAATATAGCATCATCACATTCAAAATTAGAGTTCAACATTTCTGAACATGAAAAATATAAATATTCCCAAATCACACTTGAGAACATCTAAAGGCTTTCTAGTCGAGTTATAAAGTTATAGAATTTAAAGTCTCTTACTCCTAACACTGGTTCTCTAACTCTGAAATCTACTCAATCTTTGGCAACAACTCTGCAAAAGAAAGTGGTAAATGATGTAAAATTTTTACAAAGTTATATAAAGCACTTACAGCACTATGTTTTAGACTTCAAATTTATTAAGCATTTAAAATAATGTAAAAATTTGGCATGTAGTCATGATTCATTAAAACATTCTAATGATTCTTAACCTCTAAAATGACAGCTGTTATGTATTAAGTTGTAAGAAAAATAGTACTGTGGATTCTGAGTTTGTTGAAAGCAGATTAAATAAATCTTAGAATTTTATTTGTTTATGCTAAGAGAAACCAAGTGTAATAATTTTTTATTCTATGATAATTTAAATCATAATTGTTTGAAAACATTGAATAATGTTCTTTAATTATGTTATTGCATATAGTCTTTATAAAGCTCCTTAGGGATGTAAACAATCATATCACTGTGTAAGTTATTGTTTTTCTTAAACTTTTGGGGTACTTCTGTATCAATTGGCTTTATACTTCTGCTGAATATAATATTAATAACTTGAAATAGTTCAATTTTGATGTAACAGTGTTTTACTTATTTACTTTTCCCTTTTTTATAAGCTATTTGAACTGCTGGGACCTGAAGGACTCGACCTTATTGAGAAGCTCCTCCAGAATAGAACTACGATTGTGAAATTTCTTAATTCCTCAAATGATCATAAATTTCAGGCTCTTCAAGGTAAGATAGTATCTAGTGCTAATTGTAATTTAAAGGAAAGGTTTATTAGTTAGCAAACTTTTTAAATATAATTACACTTTTTATATCCTTTGATCTATTATGTAATTTACTGAAAGCATTCTGTTAAGTAGATTTTACTTATTACAGATTATGAAACAAATATAAATGACCTCAGTAGGAAGGCATTATGGCAATGTTTGGGTATGGCATTTAAAGTTTTTTTAAAAGGCAGATACTTGAAATACTCTGGGCCAACTAGTATAATATAATTTCCCTACAATTTTTTATTTTGAAAACTTTCAAACCTGTAGTAAAGCTACAAGAAAAATACAGTGGACATTTGTATGCCTTTAATGTATATCCACTGGTCAGTAACATTTCCCCACCCCCACCCCCTTGAACTGCACATGTATACCTACACACATCCTTAGTTTTTAAATTTTTTTTTTTTTTTTTTTGCAGTTTTTGGCCAGGGCTGGGTTTGAACCTACCACCCCCAGCATATGGGACCAGTGCCCTACTCCTTTAAGCCATAGGCACTGCCCCCTAGTTTTTAAATTTTTGCTGAAGAATGACAGGAAGTTGCAGATGTCATGTTACTTCACCTATAGAATAATCAATATATATATAAGAAAAATGTCTCCTAGTTAACTGAAATGCAATTATCACAGTCAGGAAATTGAACACTCACAGTGTCATGTACTACATACATTTAAAAATCTGGAACACTGGAACAATTAGGGAAAGTTGCCTGGGAAACCAAAATTATAAAAAATACCTGACTTAATCATGACACAACTGATGGTGTCAGGTTTGAAGTGACAAACAGGAAAAAAGTTTGTTTTACATGACTCAAATATTCCTTGCCAGCCTTACACGCAGTTCGGGATTTTTAAAAAATTTTATTAGCACAAGAAATTAGACACCTCTCTTCAAACTATTCAGCATCTGTTCTTTATGCAATTTATCTCATCTTTTCTTTACACTTATGATTGATAGTACTAAAAGGAAATGATAAAGACAGCCTTGGTTTAAATCTAAAATCTCTTACAGATTTTCTCTGTTACTTATGGATTTTCTTGATTACTAATAAAAGTTCTCAGAAGCCTAGAGTTGCTTTTAGATTGCTAGAAACTTGGAAGATTTGAATTAGTGACCTTAACTTTCTGCACATCTTTATGTTGAGTACTTCCATACTGTCTTGCTCCAAAATGCTTCTGCCTTTCTGCCTTTTGCATAGTGCATAGTCAGATAGATTGCAGTAAGTCAGGAAGGTTTAGAAACATTTAATATGGGTGTCTATCAGAAGGAGAGGAATGAGCTGAAATACTCTGAGAATTTGGTGTTCTATTTTGTCAGTCTCCCAAATATTAACATAGAGATACTGATTCCAGCTTTTAATACTCATGATTTATTAATATAAAGTTCAGTATAAGTTCAGCTTCAGATGTTTATTTGAAAACTAGTTGATGAGTTTCATTTATGTTCATTATTATGTTCTACGGATTTTATTTCATTAGGATAACTTCTGAAAAGCAACCGATTTTTTAATTCAAAATATTAAACTAGAATTATTAAACACATTGAACCATCAGGCTTCCCTGAGATGTTTTCTACTCTTTTTAAACTATTCTACTTTTTTATTCCATGTTAGATCATTTTTGATATTGCTACTATGTAAGAAGAATAATTATATTCTTAGAAATTAAATTTGGGGCATTTAAACAAATAGATTTTAATTTTTTCTGAAAACTATGTTTAAAAAAGCTGGCAACCAGCATATTTTTCAGTAGGGTTTTTGGTGTGCATACATTAAAAATTATTTTCCCTACAGTTTTTTTCTTTTGGTGGGGGGAGAGTGAGGAAGTACTCCTGAAAAAAAGAATCATTGACCTCTTGTTACTTAATCACTATTCCTATTATGTTAGAATTAAGGTTTATTTCTGCTTGTCTGTCTCTATAGTAAGCCTAATCCACCAAGAAGAATCATGTGTTTAAACATTTGATATTTTACAACTTGATTTTAAAAATTTCCTATTATGTGTGGTCTTACAAGATTCTGGCACAATATTTTTTGGGTTTTTTTGAGACAGAGTCTCACTGTCCCCTGGGGTTGAGTGCCAGCATGTTATTATACCTTACACTAACCTCAAAACTCCTGGGCTCAAGTGATCTTCATGCCTCAGCCTCCTGTGTAGTTGGGTCTATAGGTGCCCACCACAGGTGCCCAGGAATTTTTCTGTTTTTAGTAGAGAAAATAGAGAGATTTGCTCAGGTTTGTCTCCATCTCCTGAGTTTAAGCAATCTGCTAGTCTCAGCCTCCCAGTGTGCTGGGATTATAGGTGTGAGCCACCATGCCAGTTGAGATTTTAGCATATTCTAAGTTAGATATTAAAAAGCTTTCAGTCAGATAGACATGTTTTCTTTATATTATTGTAATTCCTTGATTTAAATGATTATAAGTATATGCAATAGCATTAATTACTATCACATTTGCTTTAAATGTTAATGATATTAGCATAGCATAGCTTGTCACTGAAAATAGTTACAATTTTACACTTAAAATCTTTTTTTAATTTCAAACTTTTAAGTGGGTATAAATGTTTTTGCTTACATTGATCACTTTTATAGGACTTGAATCATGTCCCTAAGTGCCCCTCCCCACATTTCCCCCTTTCCTGCTTGACTCCCCCTGAGTTTCACCTCCTTATGTGCACATCTGAGTTCATCAGTGGACATGTGGAAACGTCGGAATGTTTCATTCTTTTTCTGACACTGAAAGTTCATTATAAATGTTGTTCTTAAACCAGATGTATAGAACAACTTAGAAGATATTTAAGACTTACTTAGGAAAATACATTTTTTAGAACTATAACATTTAGTCCTAATGTAGATGAGATTATATCTTATTTCATGACTTTGAGACAAACTTCATTTTTTAAAGACTTATAATGCCATTGTACAAGGTAATTATTTCCTATGATTGGGAGTTAACTGACTTACTTAAAATCATGTAATGAGGCAGTGATTAAGTGTCTGAGAATTGTGAAGATTTGACACAGAATGAATTAAAAAGCTAATTTCCCCAACTTGATGCTGTACTGGATCTGTACTGGATCTTGAGATTTGGTAGAATGACTTGCTTTGTGCTCCATCAGAATATGGGCCAAGTCTCATTCTTCATTGTTTTCCTAGCCTCGCACCAATGCCTACCAGCAAGTAGGTCCTGCTTATTGACTGGGATTGCTTTCAAACACATTCTTTTTAGTTCTTTTAGGGTTGCAGAAAGTTAAGATACTGCTCCTTACCGAAATTTAACTCAACACAGAAGATAATCCTGTTGGAAGAAAATGTTTCCTTCCTGAGTGATTGAGTTGACCAACTGCAGACCTAAATTGAGTTTATAAATGTTGAGTTTTGATTGGTCAGATTCCCCTTAGTGGTTTTGACCTTCTTCTTCTTCTTTTCTTTTTTTTTGTAAATGTGTTTCTGTGAAAAGGTAGACCATACTTTTACCTTGATTGCTTTGGTCATTACCTTAAATATGTCCTAAGCTAATACTAATGAATTTTATTTCACATATAAATAAATAAGTGGCATAGGTGCAGCTTAACAGGAATAAGGCCTATTACATAGGGGAATGTTATTTTAACTTGTAAAGAGTTTTTATTTTATTATATTATCAATAAATGTTAGTATTGATGGTTATCATATTCATTGAAATTATATTAACAGAAATTATTTCAAATTTATGAAATTTTATTTTTAGGCTCCTGATGTATGTAAGAATTTATAATGAAACTTTAAACTGCTTAGTCTTTCTTAGGAAGAAAATACTGCTGTGTTTTCTTAGCTACAAGTGTAATATCATTTAGATATTGTGATTCATAATAAAGTCTTCTTAACACATATTTTATGCTTTTATGTTTTGGTAGAGGCATCAGAAGTCATTTTTCCTGAAGGTTAATTAACATTAAAATTTGTTAAATGTTGTATTTCTTAAATTTTCTTTGTAGATAATTGTAAAAAAATTTTAGGAGAAAATGCTAAACCCAATTATGGTTGTCAAGTCACTATTCAGTCAGTACAAGAAAAGCAGTTAATAAAACAATATCGCCGTGAAGAAAAAAGAATTGCCAGACGAGAAAAAAAGGCTGGGGAAGATTTAGACATTTCAGAAGGACTTATGCCCTTTGATCCTAAGGAATTGCGGATACACAGGTAATGAAGGCTGGAAGCTGGAAAATGTGTGTGTTGAAATTGCTGCTTTTATTTATCATTATCATTTTTTTGGTTTAGCATGAGTGATTTAGATGAATCTTACTTCTAGTCACGTTTTCTTATAAGAAGAGAATTTTGTTGTATGAAAACCTAATTTTCTGGAATAAGAAAGCAATGATCTGCTTAATTAGAATATTCTTGGTTGCGTTCACATAGATGAGAGATTCAGATTATAGAAATAAGCTATTTTTAGGTGCTGTGCACTCACCAGTAGGTTGAGATTTATAAAACTTACATAAATTTATTTGCAACTTTTGTTTTCCGTCTCAGCTTAATGATCTCCATGTTGTTAATTAGAATTAGAAGGAAAATTAAATAACGGCATTATTGCACTTAATTCTTTAAATACTGAAACCGACTTTTAAAAAGGAATTGATACCTTGTTAAATATGTCTGAACTGTGAAAAGACATTATAAATAAAGAGTCTTTAAAGTCAAACTTTCGGATGGTGTTATCTAAAAATAACATCCAAAATTGTGCTGAATCCTGTTTGGTTGCTCTGAAAATTTCAGGATTTCTCGTATCATAGTTTAATTTCTTCTCTTTTATGACTGGCTGCCTGAAATAATTATTATAAGTATCTTGTTTTAGTCTTTTTTTCTTTTCAAAATAAAGATTTTAAATTTGGCCGATTATTTTTATATTTTTAGAGAGCACGCACTACTGAATGCTAGAAGTGTTCCAATTCTGAGCAGGCAGAGAGATGACGTTGAAAAAATACGTTATCCCCATGTTTATGACTCCCAGGCTGAAGCCATGAAAACATCGGCCTTCATTGCTGGTGCAAAGGTATGTATGCAATTGTATGTAACCATTTTTCAGTAATGTTCTGAGTAAATGACATGTAGCTTTTCCCTGTTTTCTTTGTGAATCTAGTTCTAGTTGACCAGACTATGCTAAGTTTTATTTTAAAATATTGGGGGAAATCAGATAATAACAGTATGAATATGTGAAGCTAACAGAATAGGTATTCAGAGCACACTTTCTTTTCATTGTTTTTAAAATTAGTATTTTTGAGTTTTATCAGTGGCATCATTGTTTAAACTTATTAGTATGTATTACACATTTTCCTAGTTATATGAGTACATTTGTCTTTAGAAAATACCATGTGGTTAGGGTAGGGATACTTAAAGATTGATTGCCATGATGTGGCCTGTATGTTAGATGAGATCTGTGATACATGAATGCTTTATGTGTGTGTGGTTTTGTGTATTTGCTTGTTTTTTTTTTTTTAATTTAGGTTATTTTTCTTTAAAGTAGCTACATGTATTTACCAGTGATTTGGCATAAAACAGTAGTGCTTTTCTCTCTTTCCTTAATTAGAGAATCTTTACCAGAGTAAATGTGTTATTTTTTATTGTTATTAGATTTTTATTTTTGATGTTTATAGATGATTTTACCAGAAGGAATCCAAAGAGAGAATAACAAGCTTTACGAAGAAGTAAGGATTCCCTACAGTGAACCAATGCCAATCAGCTTTGAGGAAAAGCCAGTTTACATCCAAGACTTAGATGAGGTGAGGTGAGCTTTTTATAGAGCTTATATTTTGATGCGTGATTTGTATTATAAATGGATTTACATTGGAAAAATTAGTTTTAAATACTACGTGTGAGAGGTCGGCTAAATAGTACAGAGACATACATACACAGTTGGTTACTAAAGAATTACAGCAAGGGAGTTTAAATAAAAAAAAATACATGTATTCCTTTATACTTTAAACATTTATGAATGCATTTTTGTACATATCTCTATATTTTGTTTTTTGGTTATTTTAGCTAATGACTTTATTTAACCTTAATTATCCCCTAGAAGAGTCCTGTCTTTAAATATAGTCACATTGGGGGTTAGGGTTTCAGAATATCAATTTTGAGATGGCATAGTTCTGTTCACAACATGGATAAATCCATTAGAAACATAGGTGTGCAGGCTCTTTGTGAACATAAGTTTTCATTCTCTGTGATAAATGTTCAGGAATGCTTTGCTGAGTCACAGTACAGTTCCATGTTTATTTTTTTTAAGAAACTACCATTGTTTTTTAGATGTACCATTTTATATTCTCACAATTCACTGTTATCTAGTTTCTCCACATACTAATCAGAATTTGGTTCTTTCGCTATTTTTTAATTTTTTTAGCTACTTATATTTTAATATATCATTTATATGTTAATCATTAATGACTGTGTGTAGTGATTTCTCAGTGTGTTGTTAATTTGCACATTCATAATGACTGACAGTAATTGGGGAATAACACATTCAAATACAGTGTATCTTTATATGTAAAAAAGCAAACTATTTGATGTCCTATTGCTGCAATATTCATCCTGCTGGATGTCATGAGCTTGAGTAGTAACACAAACCTCAGGACAAAGTGTAGATTTCAACAGAATGTCAGATAGAAGCGTAGTGCATCTTTTGCATTGAACCGTTTATGTTTCAGGAAAGTGCTGGTGAAGATGGAGGGTGTTGTCTGTCTTTCTTTTTTCACTGAGATCATAATTAGATACTATTCTTAACTGTCCTACGATGCTTTTCTGTCCTTTTTCTGACTGAATGCCATATTGGATAATTTTTTGTTTTCTTAAAACCTTTGTAATTTGATTAAAAAGCCAAGGACCATTTTAAAATTATAAAATTATTTATTATTGTTTTGCTCAAAGTGAGCAAAAAAGACAATTTATTGACCTTTTCACCTGAGCTGTTCAGGAATAAAGCTGCCTGTGTGCCTGGCTTGGATATATAGGTTCGTATGATGTCATCCTATCTTTTTCTCTGTCTTTATGTTTCTCTCTTAATCTCTTTCTCCCTATTTTTTACTTTTCTTTCCTCTTCTCTTTCTTTCACCCATCCCTCTCTCTTTTTATTTCTCTTCAATCCCTCTCTCTGGTTTTTTGATACAGAGTCTCACTCTGTCACCCCACTGGAGTGCAATGGCATCATCATAGCTCACTGTAACTCAAATTCTGGACTCAAGTGATCTTTCCTGCCTTAGCCTGCTGAGTAGCTAGGAGTACAGGCATGTACCACCATGTGGGCTAGTTTTTCTATTTTTTTGTAGGGACAGGCTGGTCTCAAACTCCTGAGCTCAAGTGATCCTCTTACCTTGGCCTCTCAGAGTGTTAGGATTATAAGATGAGCCACTGTATCCCAGGCTTTTTCTCTCATTCCCTGATTCCCAGATAGGCTTTCTTCATATAATCAGGGAAAAGTATATGCAGCAGTTCCAAACTTAACAGTTTCTCTGTACTTAATACCAGAATTTCTTCCCACAAGTTCTTCTGGGGCAGCGGGGGAATCTTCTGGGATGAACTCTGATATTCCTGACTGTGGCCACCAGTTCATTTCTGAACCAGTTCCTTTCTCTGTAGTGGGCACGTGGGGTTCTTTCTGACCTGTGGCTGCTCACTTGCACATCCTAACTGTCAGCTCCCTGTGAGCCACCAGGAGTCAAGAGGGAGTTTCTCAAAGGAAATCAGGGTACCATTATTACCCCTAAAAAAAGGAGGAGAAAAAATTAAAAAGCAAGAACTATGTCTTTGATATTTTAAGTGAAAGACTTAGGCTTATTTTTTATCTTGGGATTAAATATGTTGACTTCTCTTTGCATAGTTGGGAGTTATATTTTGTATCAGTTAATCAAGTGTTGCTCAGCAGAATGGTCTCCTGACTCAAATATAATTCTTGGTTTGAAAAGCTAATGTAAAAGATGCACATAATGTTTCATATGAAAAGCTAAGAAAATTGAGTCTTATTAAATCTATTGTAAAGAATTTTGAGATTTAGGTTTTCTGTGAGCTTATTTTCTTGAATCCTGTACTTATATTCTTAAGTATGGGGTAGGGGGAAAGAGAGTATTATCCCTGATCTTTGGTTACTCAGTGTAATGTATCTGATCCATCCCCTTGGAAATGACTGGGACAATAGAGGCATGGTGTGCAAAGTTTTATGGCAGCAGCACAGAGAAAGCAAGCAGAATAAAGGTATCAGGGAAGAAGCTTTCGTGGAGGTATATGTTGAAGGCATAGATTTTTAATAGATAAAGCAGATGGGACTGTACACCAGGCAAAGGATGCTGCATGAAATATTTTGTGACCTTTGAGAAACAAGCACATCAGTCTTAGGCTGTATATGGAGAGTGGCAGCGAATGAGTCTAGAAACAGACTTAATAGCCTGTATGTGGCCTGTATGTGTAGGGCTTTGAAAATTATGCTAAGAGGAAACATTATTTTTATTTATTTATTTTTTTGTTTAAGTCATAAACACATAGATCATGTGTACATTGACACCTTTATGGGTATCATTGATGCCTTATATACAATTAGGAATATTTACATCAAACTAGTTAATATAGCCTTAACCTCATTTACTTAATTATTGTACTAAGACATTTATACTTAATAGATTTGACATGTACTATTGTAATATGAACCATAGGAATGGTCCCACCGTTTACCCTACTTCCATCGAATTGAAGCAACACCAGAAATACATTACTGGGATCTGACCAAATTTAAAAACTTCTGCACAGCAAGAACATAGTAAGGAAAGCAAGCAGACAGCCCTCAGAATGGGAGAGGATATTTGCAGGTTATGTATGACAACCAGAATCCACAGAGAGTTCAAACTTATTAGTGAGAAAAGAACAAGTGATCCCATTTCATTGTGGGCAAGAGACTTGAACAGAAAGTTCTCTGATGAACAGAAAGTTCTCTGAAGAAGACAGGCACATGACCTACAGATACTTGAAAAAATACTCATCCTCTTTAATCATCAGAGAAATGGAAATCAAAACCACTTTGAGATATCATCTAACTCCAGTAAGAGTAGCTCATATAACAAAATCCCAAAACTACAGATGTTGGCGTGGATGTGGAGAAAAGGGAACACTTCTGCACTGCTGGCAGGAATAAAACATTACTTTTTAGAAACAGGAGAGTAAATGGTCATTTTTCACAGAGAGGGATTACTTTGGCTATAACAGAGTTGAAGACTGAGAGTAGAGTTGCTGCAGTAGTTCAGGGGAGAAATGCTACAGTGTGAATTAAGAAAGTGGAGGTCGGCTCGGCACCTGTGGCTCAAGTGGCTAAGGCACCAGCCACATACACCTAAGGTGGCGGGTTCGAATCCAGCCCTGG